TATGTTTGTATGAAGGTAAGGGTACGATAGTCCAAGTGTTATTAGAATGCATTGCTTTTAACTCATCATCCATAGCATTGCACCACTCAGGATATTTAGCAGCTTGATTAAAATTTTGAGGCTCAAAATTAGCAGATATGCTCATCACCATGGCTTTATGAGAAGAAGACAATTTATCATAACTGATGACATCCTCCAAAGGATACAAAGAAGAAGTTGTTTTGGAATGCTTCAGAGAATTACAATGAAAATCCTTTAAGTATGTTGGAGGATTTCTATTTCGAACTGGTCTTGTATTTTGTGGAGGAATAGGTTCAGGAATCTGAATTGCTGGTGATGCAATTGGAACATGATCAGATTGAGTAGCATTAGAAACAACTTCAAAAGGAATTTCAACAGTCATTGGAAATGACAGAACAATTTTGTCAAAAAGGCCCATATTAATTGAAGAAGCAGAGCCATTTTTTAAAGGAAATATAGTTTCATGAAAGACAACATCTCTTGAAACAAGAAACTCTTTTTGGTAAGCGTAAGCATTTAGTAAGAAGAAAAAACTAGATATGAAACTCCCGGTATCAGTTACAATGCTCACTATTACGGATCCCATGACGACAGCTCCCGCTGAAGCAATTGTTGCTCCGGAGGTAGCTAAATTACCTATCCACTATAGACGGAAAAGGCATGCTGTGGCGGACTTAAATAAACCTTAGTTGAAAAAAAATTATTGGTGGACCAGAAAGAAATTATTGACCTTGATATAACTCTTTTTATACCGGATTAAATGAAGACTCCTAGAATGGCACGCACGAAGAAGCCTACTCAGAGTAGGAATCCCGCACATTATAAAAAAAGTAAAATGGACTTGCAACTACCTTAGACTTTCTTTAAGGAAGATATCTCGTCTTGTTCCTCAATCTTCGAAGAATGCGGCGTTGTATTATTGTAAGTTTCCTGTTCCAAACATTTCCTTCAAGTAGACGCCAAGTTTTAAATCTTAAAGCGGGCATTCCTCCCTTACATGCATTTGCTTGCAACAGATTCTTACTAAGACCCCATAGATACGGTCTCGGTATCTTCATTGTGCCCCTCTTCTCAAAGCCCTTCGAGATGAAGATGAATGTCAATGTGCCAATTTATTCTTTCCCCCCTACTATTTACTCTTCTCCTTCACTGCACACTTTAGATAGATGTTTCCATCCAATCACAGACGGACAAATCAATAGGAAATGTAATTTGCTTTGTAAGAAGAAGAATTCACTTCTATGAAAGACTTTCACGGGAATTGTCTTGATCGTCGGGTATCATTTTAAAGTAAATAGGAATAAAATCATACAATTTGTAAGCTTTCGTATTGGGAGGATAGCCAACAAATATGCATGATTTGGCTCTTGGATTGAACTTGGTTCTTCTTGCTTGTAAAGTAGATGCATATGCTAAACAACCAAAACTTCTTAGATGTGAATATAAAGAATGTTTTCCATATAATTTGTAAAAAGGAGTTTCCTTTTGAAGAATTTTGGATGGTAAACGATTGATAAGATATGTTGCAGTCAAAATGCACTCACTCCAAAGACCAATGGGCAAATTTGAGTGAAAACACAGTGCTCTAGCAAAATTAAGTAAATGTTGATGTTTTCTCTCAACAATAGAGTTTTGTTAAGGTTTAGCAACACAAGATTTCTGATGAATTATTCTATTGGCTGCAAAAAAATCTTTTAATTTAAGTTCCATAGCATTGTCAGATCTGAAAATCTTGTTTTTCTTTGTAAATTGAGTGACAACCATTTGATAAACGGAAGGAATGATTTGAATGATGTCAGATTTGCTTTTAAGCATATATACCCATGTATATCTGCTATAATCATCCATAATAGTAGCAAAATATCTAAAACCTTGATAAGAAAGAATGTGATATGGTCCCCAAATATCACAGTGTACAAGGGCAAAACAGTCTTTTTAAAGAAGATTCATGGATACAAAGGGTAATTGTTTCTGTTTGCCAAGAGGAAAAACATTACAGTGTGAAAACAAATCTTGTTTAATTATGTTAACAGATAAGTGATCTCTTATTGGAAACAAAGGTTGTATAGAAGGATGCCCTAATCTACTATGCCATACATCCAAACACACATTATTCACATTGCTCACTCTATCATGCTTCTTGAATTTGCTATCATCCAACGCATATAATTCTTGACACAAATCAGCCTTGCCAATCATCTTCATTGCCCTCATATCCCGAATTAGAGCATGATAACATGTAAATTGAACAATTAAACTGTGATTCTTGGTTAAAGAACTAACAGAAATGAGGTTTTGATCAAATGAAGGAACATAGAGAACATCTTTAAGAGCAAAAAGATGATCTATGTTAATATCTCCAAAAAATTTAGTTGGAAGAGTAATTATATTAGGTAAGGTAACTGTGTGATGATAAACTCTTCTGGTGTTTAGAAACATTGCAATTTCATGACAAACCTGCTGAGTAGCACTTGAATCCAATATCCATTTGTGTGATTTTTGTCTAGAATTAACAGATAATGAATAGCATTTACCTGTAGTAGTTTCTTCATGAGTGTTAACAGTAATCATGTGATTGGATAAAGCCAACATCACTTGTTGACATTGTTCTTAAGAAAATCCTTTGAACATGTTGGAAAGATCGTTGTTGATAGAAGATATTTGATCCGAAGCATCATCATGAGTTTGAACAACAGTAACTCTGTTTTTGGATTTATATCCAGGTGGATATCCATGAAGTTTGTAACACTTATCGACAATGTGACCCTGCAATTTGCAGTGAGTACAATATGGTCTGTCTTTGTTATTAGATCTGGTATTTGTTGCAGGCTTGCGAGCTTGAGAAGAAGAAGAAGATGATGCTTTAGCAACAAACTCCATCGACTGTTGAACATTTGTGTCACGACTGAGAGATTTCTGCTTCTCTTCTTGAACAATTAACGAGAAAACACGGTTGATCGATGGAAGAGGATCCATGAGAAGGATATGTCCTCTTGTTTGAGAGAAAGAATCGTTTAAACCCATTCGAAAGTTCATAATATGCTCATTATGAAAATATTTGTTGATTTTCTCAACGCCACCACAATCGAACTTATTACATGTGCAATGTGGCCTGAAATTCATGAGTTCATGAGTGAGAGTTTTGAGTTTAGTGAAGTAAACACCAATAGCGTCGTGATTTTGATTGAGATTCGACAACTCTCTTCTAATTTGAAAGATGCGTGGACCATTGCTTTGTTGAAATCACTCTTTCAGATCATTCTAGATCTGAAATGCAGTATCAGTAAACAACACTAGCATATATTTTTTTAGAGGCGGAATTTAATATCCAATGTATTACCAATTTGTTGTTCCTCATCCAAGCACTGTAAATAATCGCTTCAGAAGGATTTGGTTTAGGTAGAGAACCATCAATGAATCTAGTCTTATTCTTAATAGAAAGAGCAATTTGCATTTCTTGACTCCAAGAATCATAGTTTTCGCCAGTAAGCAATTGTAATACGAGAACAAAACCAGGGCTGTCAGCATGATAAAGATAATACGGATGCATACGATCATCCATAGGTGAAACAATGGAACCGGAATTGGTAGAATTAAATGTCAACATTTCGAAAGAACACAATTAGACAAAACAATAGTTGAATGACTAATTCAAATCGAAATGATAAGATGATCGTAGAAACGATAAAAAAATAAACAGAACGGAAAGCAGTTACGCTCTGATACCATATTACACGAATCAAAGAGAGGGAAATGTTGTATTGAATTAACCACTCTGAGCTAAGCTCTTACAATACATATAACAAACTCTAACAGACAAATATATAAATATACAATATCAACCCTGAACTATTTACAAATGTACAATAGTATTCCTAATATTGATATAATCTGCTACGAATAACAAAAAAAAGAAAAAAAAAAGTCGTAAGCCTTTACTCCTTCCGTCCTTTACCTGTTGAAATACTTGGTTAGGATTGCATTCTCATGTCTCACAAAATATGTAAAAAAAATCAAAAATTTTCATTTATTTTGCATTTTAAAAATATTTTTTTATCATCAAAATGAATGGTTAGGATTGCGTTCTCATGTCTCACAAAATATGAGGGTCTCACATGAACCTATATATATATTGCATTGTTAACTTTATATAAAAATTAGTTCGTAATCGAAAAGTTACAATTTTTTTGCTAATGAAAACTTAAAAAACGATTACATATATAGGGTGTGTTCGGCATACAACTTTTGGGAGTTTCTGGTTTTTAGATTTTAAGAAAACGCTCGCAAAAAATGTAAAAACTTCGTTTGGCGACAGGAACGTTTAACTTTTAGCCTTAGCAAAACGTTTCTAAATCAAAAGCTATATGAAAAAGTTTTCAACAAAACGTTCCAAAATCAAACACTATCCGCTACTCGTTAGCAGCTACCCACTACCCAGTAACTATTACCCGCTACAAGCTAATTTTGCCGAACACATTCATAACCCTTTGGTCCCCGGTATAAATATGCGACACTAATAAAGCATGGGCTAGTCAAAGCTTAGATACAAGAAAATTTTAAAATGAACATATTGTCCGGAACATGATATTCCCGTGTATATTTTTTTATTTTTGCTGTATGCTAATTTTTCAATTATGTTTTTTGTATTTGTAGAATGTTGTTTCGAATTTGACATATGCATGATTTTCATGTGTATGTAATTAATTATGGTTTTCATGAAAGGCAATGATATGCTCTAATACAATGTGATTTTACAAATTTTCCATATCACATCTTCTCATTCAATAGCAATATTAATACAAAATACAACAATATGGGCTGCGGATTTTGGTTAGGCCAATACAAAGGCTTACTGAATACTACCTCTAAATAATTACAAATACACAATAAACATACGCTAACAAACAAATATATAGATACAATAATTACAAAAGAGATCCTACATTGTACAAAGTGTAATAAAAGTAAAAAACTATACAATGCTATTCTAACGCTCTACATTATCAAACAAGCATTAGGATTCTCGTCACTAAATATCGTATACAATGAACTCTCTTCCAAATATTCATACATCACGGGATCTGGGGCTGGTTGCCCGAATTCTTCTTGTTCTATATTCCCTTGATCTAGTGGAATGTCGTCTTCAGAAGGCAAAATCATTTCCACTCTCTTTCCTGTCTTCTTCAATTTCTTCAACACTTTGTCCGGATCAATCTTGCCTATCACCATAACTTGATGTCTTGTCATATCTGTCATAAACTTCTCAACCCCTTCAAGGATTTTATAAAATTTTAATTTTATGTTATCAAATGTGACGTTGAATATTAAAAATAGGAATCACATACACAAATGCTTAATAAAAATGGTGTTACCAATTATCAAAATGGTATATAAATCGCAATATTTGAATTCCAGTCTGAAATATAGTTAGGTGGACAAGGTATATGTATGATTGAGGATTTGATCGAGTACACTATATCAATAAGTAAAGTCTAGAATTTAACGAGCAAACAATATTTTAGATCGTAATATATATAGTGTATGTTTAGTTCTCCATTATATGGGGTTTGATCAGTAGCTTCAAGCAAAAAATATACCTTCGATTTTTGAAATTGTATCTGCTACCAACTTTTCACATCCGTCGCAATACAATGAAATTTTGAATTCTGCTACAACCACCTAAAAAACAATCACTGTCGGATTATATTAAACAAATTTTTATCGAAAAGTAGCAGAAAACTGAAATATAGTTACTCGTGTCTTACTTTATCTTGATCGTTCATTTTCTTCTTTCCCACATTAACTAATTGCTACGATTAATGAGCAAGGAATGAGATTAGGTCTCACAACCCAATCGTGGTTTTGCTGTCTTATATATATATTCCTGTATATGATTTTATTAAGAAATTGATATTTTATTAAGAAATTGATATGATACATGCACATTACTTCTGTAACTCATGTAATGCATAAAGTACTTAATTAATGTGTCACGAGCAATCCAGTAACTCATGTTAATTAGGATGTTAAACATGCAAGACTGGTCTCTAGATGTTTCTAACAATCTAAGTTACAGTCAAATTCTTCATGTGCAAGATTCGACCTGATGTTAAATATGTAATATAAAATGCCATCAAATAGTTCCTAGGATCGTACAACAATAACTAATTTCTTTCATAATATTTTAATTTATATCAAAGATCGAGTGAGTCGAATTCACAAAAATATTTGAATTAATTTGAACTTAAATTTTAATGGATTAGAGGTAGCTTCAAACATTAAGGAATAAATCAATTTCAAATGTTTCCATAGATTTCATAAAAACCTTAATAAAAAGATAAAAGCTAAATATCATATTGATGATTTTAATTTTTTTTTTAATATATTGATATAATTAATGGTCCTATGCACGATCTTACGATGCTACTAACGGTCTAACGATCTTATTGATGATCGCAATCCTACTCTAATTTTACCCTTAAATTTCTCTTGTTAAGATTGAGATCGTTTTTAGATGTCAGGATCGTAAAATCATATGTAGATACTATAATAAATATTGCAATTTTAACAATATATAAGATTGATGTGAATGTATAAGACAATCAAATATTGCACCTATTCTCCGATGATATATATTATATATAATATATAAAATAAATTAAAATTCTTATTTTTGGTGAATTATAATAGAAAACTACTCCCATATCCTACATGGATGTCAATACTTTCTCTTGTATCTAATTATCTATTTAGGGAAAAATTATTGGTCAAGCTAATTTAGTTTGCAAAAGGATCAAAGGATTGTACATTAACACACATTTTCCTTGCATTTCGAAAAGGAAATGTAGCTTTATACCGTACCATTCTAGCCAAAAAAAGTAACCTGACTACCTAGTTTCTGAAGCTTAATTTGTCATTTTGTTCTCTACGTGATATCTTCTTTGGCACTAAAATTTTCAAAGTTTCGTCAAGCAATGTAAAAAGACAATATCGACGTTGCAGAATGTAATCGAGGAAGAAAAAGGTCATAACTTACCTGCGCCGGCAAAGGAAAAAAAATAGATTGACGCATATGGTGGTATAAAACAATGTCCTTGTTTATTCTTCTTTGTCGTACCCATGGGGGTGATGGAGATTATGGATGGACAAGAAAATAACTGAATGTAAATAAACGTGAGATTAAGCAAAATGTTTGGGAATTACTATGTTTAGAAACAAAGGTCGTCGTAGATTCTCTTCCTTCTTCATTGAGCATGTATATAAAAAGAAAAACAAAGAAATAATGGTTGTCATTTTACTCAAGCCTACGTATTATAACAATTTTCAAGTATCATTGTTGAAAAATGAAAGAATCAATGCACAATTTTTTAATGGTATCATTTAAAACCAGTCTAATGCCCGGAAGGGGTGAACAAAACTAAACCCGAAAACCGAAAAACTCATAAAAATTGAAACCGAAACATAAACAGGCGGCTTCGGTTTAGTTTTTTCAAAAACCGAAAATTTCGATTTGGGTTCAGTTTTTGGATTTGGTAAAACCAAAAGAAACCGAACTGAACCGATTATAAAATGTTTAAAATATATATTTTTTTATATACATAATATAAATCTCGTTTGCGAAATACTTATAACAAAAATAGTAGTTGATTCAGTCGCTATGCACGCTTGGTCTTTGACCCCAAACTATGAGGTTCGAAACACCTCACACACACCTTTCTTGATTTATTTTTCCAAAGAAATTCAGCATATGTATAGATATATGTATATCGTGACTTTTAAACACACGCATAATCCTTGTTGAGTTAAGGCGCTTTGTTTATTCTTGAGGTTTTAGGTTCAAATCTAACTCCTTACACTTTCTTATATATGTATAACGTTCTTGTTTTATATTACCATAATTGAAGTCCATCCCACATCGCTGCATACATTGAAATTTACCCATTCTAACCTGTTATATAAATTAGATACATTCATGCTTTATTTGGTAAACTCTTTTGACCCCACCTCGATTCAAGTATCAAAACATATATCAACTTCAATTAAAAGTTAACTTGAGGTTTAGGTTTGAAACTGAAGCCGAACCGGGAGAACCCAAGTAGAAACCAAAAACCGATAAACTGAACCGATGGTTTTGGGTTGGGGTTCGATTTTTAAGAGTTTGAAAACCGAAGTGCCGGTTTTGGATCAAAATCGACCTACACTGACCCATGATCATCCTTACTGCACGTTGCACATGAAACAAACTATATACTACAATAATATTAACATATGTATGGTTTTGAAAATAAATTAGTTTGTGTCATTAACTATAAAATAAAATTTGTTATACAAAATTAAAAAATATTGTATGGCGAACTAGCTCAATTCAACAATTTAACTAAAATGATTCATACTAACATTCTCATTGATCATATATATATATATATATATATATATATATATATATATATATATATATATATATATATATATATATATATATATATATGTGTGTGTGTGTGTGTGTGTGTTTACATATGTTTTCTCTCTATTTTCTCCAGTGTTTCAAGTGTGTTTACAAGTACGCAAGAACACACTATATATAAGGAAAATGTTGGGTAAGCCCAAAGTTGTAGGAGTTATGTACATAACTCCTACTTATGAAAGAGTTAAATGTAAGAAACCTATCATTATCCTACTAGTTACAACACCCCCCATGGGTGATTAGATTTACAATGAATCATACTTGTACTTCTTTGTCTTGTATCTTCAGATAATACATCAAACATTCGTCTCGTTAAAACCTTGTCGGAGAAAATCCTTTGGGATAAAAACTCTGGTCGGTGGATAAAAGAGTACGATTTAAATGTCATGAGAAAAGGATATAACCATACATGAACTGCATTATTAAAATATTGTTAAAATAAAACCCAGTGGGAGAAACCTCTAAATGAGGGACAAAAGAGTACACAATGGTTAAGGAAGTATTCAACATGATACTCCCCATGATTTCATCAATCCTTAGTGAGAATGGGTTACATTTTGTGTCTCGTTAAAAATAAATTTGTCAAGGTAACCCAATGGGACAAAACCCTTGAACTAAAGATAAAAAGATTACACAAGCATTCGTTGGGATGATTCCCTCATATGAACTCAACAAGGTGTTAAGCATATATCAAGTTGCAATCTTTACTTGTACACAATTAGGTGCATGATACATGTCATTTAGGCAGTTCAGAGATCTTCCTAAGTCCAATGGATCTGACATGTTTTTGGAATTAATACTTTGGAAGTGACTTGTGTTGGAGAATGGTGCCCATAGCCACAACAAGTCGGTAATATAACTATAAATAGAGTGTCCTTTTAGGTTACACGCAAGAACAAATATGAGCAGAACTGAAAAAAATAATTAGTTATAAGGTATGAAATGTTAATTAATTAATAGTTTAATTAATTAAATGAATCTAGAGATCCTGGAATGTTCTAGATAAAAAGATTTAAATATCAGGATAATTACCAAAGTTAGAGATAATTATTCTGAGCTATGATATTTATTTGTTAGGATTCAAATCCTTCCCCTATAATAGAAAGGCCTAAAATTGGAATTAAGAGTTAGAAAATCAGCCAAGTCCCTAAGAAATCCGCAGGTGCCCTCAAATCTCGAAAACCCTAGAAGCCATTAACCACACTGTGGTCTATCTGTGACATCCCCAAAATCACGGCCAGAAAAAACCGATTTAATTTATGCTTTTTAAAATAATTCCAGAGTAATCCTTTGATTGAAAGAGTTGCGGAAGTTGTTCCCAAAAACAAAATATGATAAAATAAAATTTATCAAAGCATTTCTTAAAGAAGTGTATTTTCATATATAACAAAACTCGGGATGTCATGTTCCGATACAGACCAAAAACATAAACGACACATTATAGGACTTACAACGGTTATTTACAACTACATGCCTACAAACAAAATATCTTCACAAGTTGTCCAACTTATGCTCTCGCGCCACTACCTGTAATACAAATAAAACTGAGTGGGTCAGGCTTGGGAGCCTGGTGAGCATATAGGGTTTTCAACCCACAATAAATAATTATATTTTATTTCACCAACCAACAATAACCCGATTACCCATTCCCGTTATCCTCACTTTACGTCCCTAAAACAACAACTATCACAAGGGACCTAGTCTAAGGATTTCCATCGGGATGGACATTACTGCAAAGGGGTTTCCTCGACAATAGATATCCTAAAGGCAACCATGAGGGGTATAGAGTACACCGGTGAACACATCGTTCACAACACCTACAGGTTATGAACCTGCCAGCGTTCCACTGGACAGTCTAGAAAGAGTCTGTGGTCGTCATCCATACTCCGCTAGATGACTAGATCAACAACAACATCGAGGCCTCTCATCATTTTTTTTCATCACACATCAACTATCTACCCATGTTATACCCAACAGTTTTGTAGATAACACATACATATATACATACTTATACAACTTTAAAACCTGTATAATATATCCAATCAATACTCAAATATACAAACACATCGCACGTATTTTATAGAGAATAATTCATATCTATGTGTTATAAGAAAGCAACTACACACTCACTTGATAAGAAGATTTTCGGACAACACTACGGCTTTTAAAGCAGTATTCTTCAATGAAACCGGGATATCTTCACACACCGGGCTTCTCACGGGCAGAGCTTCGGCTTGAAACTCTTTTCTTCTCAGGATCTTCGGTGCTTCAGGACTCGCTTCGGGTGTCGGGATCTTCGTTACAATCTCTCCCCCTTAGGATGATTCCGTCCCCGGAATCACACATCAACAAACAAATACGGATAGCGACTCATCATGTCACTCTCCTTTTCCCAGGTGAGATTTGGCCCATTCGTATGTTTCCAACGGACAAGCACTAATTCGACCATCTTGCGTCGTAACTTCTTAGTCTTTCGGTCAACGATTGCCTCTGGTTCTTCAATTAACCTTTTGTTCTCATCAATTCTTAACTCAGAAATTGGAATTATATCGGGAACTTCTCCCGTGAACTTCCTCAAATAACACACATGGAAAGTGTTATGAATTCCATTCAGTTCTTCGGGTAATTCAAGCTTGTAAGCTTGGTTCCCAATCCTCTGAAGAACTTTAAACGGTCCAATAAACCTTGGACTTAACTTTCCCCTTTTACCAAATCTTATAAGTCCCTTCCACGGTGAGACTTTAAGCAAAACCGAATCTCCAACTTCAAAAGTCATCGGTCTTCGCTTGTTGTCAGCATAACTCTTTTGACGATCCTCAACTGCTAACATTCTCTCCCTAATTATTTTCAACTTTTCAGCAGTTTGATGGACTATCTCAGGTCCCATAAACTGCTTTTCCCCAGCCTTAAGCCAACAAGACGACGTACGACACTTCTGTCCGTACAAAGCTTGATAAGGTGCCATCTTTATGCTCGAGTGGAAACTATTATTGTAGGAAAATTCTACCAAAGGTAAATGTTCATCCCATTTACCTTGGAATTCCAGGGTACATGCTCCCAGCATATCTTTAAGCGTTTGTATCGTTCGTTCGCTCTGCCCATCAGTCTGTGGATGGTAAGCTGTACTCAAACACAACTTGGTACCCAATTCCTCTTGTAGACTTCTCCAAAACCTTGAGGTGAAACGGCTGTCACGATCCGATACAATCGTTAACAGAACACTGTGAAGCCTCACAATTTCTTTCACGTAAGAATTCGCAAGCTTATCCATAGACCATTTTTCATTGGTTGCTATGAAGCGCGCACTCTTAGTAAAGCGATCCACGACCACCTAAATCATGTCGTGACCAATATTTGTTCTGGGCAGCTTAGTGACAAAATCCATAGTGATGTCTTCCCATTTACCCATAGGTACGGGCAAAGGTTCTAAACTCCCATACGGTTTCTGATGTTGTGCCTTAACTCTTGCACAGGTCAAACACTTGGCCACATACTTTGCAATATCCAGTTTCATCGTCAGCCACCAGTAATAGGTTTTAGGTCCCTATACATTTTAGTGCTACCGGGATGTATCGAGTACATGGTTTTGTGAGCTTCTTCCATCAGAAGATCTCTTACTACTCCTGACTTAGGTATCCAAATCCGATCTTGGAATACCTTCAGTCCGTGACTGTT